TTACAAAATCGTCTTAAATTAGAATCTTCTGATACCCATAAATGCAACTTATTTTAACACTTTCATCAGTACTAATTTTCTTCTTATTTTGCTTTCAGTGTGCTTAGGAGTGAATTGGAGCAGAATGAGTCATGATTTTGCTCGAATGAATGTACAGAGTTATTACAATTCATTAGTTGTCTGAACATTCTGAAAGACCAGAACAAGGCTGGGAGTCTGGAAGCGTCGTTGTCCTCATCATCACCATGAATTGGTAAAATAATCTAGGGCAATTACATACAGGGAACCCAAAACATTGCAATTTACAAATCAAGCACCCTCTTTCATCAATTTTTCAAATTTTCACTCAATTATGAAGAACCCGATAAAACCCCAACACATATTTTTCATTTTTAACAAATTCACAATTGTTTGATCATATCACTCGTAAATGCATCGGTTTAATAATTCAAAAAATCACCTAAGTGCTTCATTTGTAAACAACAATGTTTCTTGTCTTTTGTATGTAATTATCCCAATAATCTATCAATTTGTTCGTGCCTCAACGAGTATGTTGGCACTAACGTAAGACTTAAAATTGGAAGGAAACACTCAAATAAAAATCAACCAAGCACACTTATTATTTGTTGAATACAACCAGCATCATGAACATGCATTTATTTAAATGATTGTTACGAGCTTGTATCTTAGGGTTTGCATTTTCAAAATGCCACCCTATAACTCAGAAAATTAAAACCTCAGTCCATCACTTGCTCATAATGCTTTTGAAAAGAACCTCTTTTTACCAATCATAAACATATAATCTACATGATTTTAAGCATCATCATCATTAGCCTTATCCAATTATCTGAATCAGCTTCATGTAACACTGCCGTTGCCGGTCCCAAGCCCGGATGTGAAAAGTGGAGGGTTGCGTTAGGTAGTCGACAGCCAGCGTAAAACTTGTCGAAAAAATCATGACATGAATCCTTTTGATCATTGTGTAAGTGCTAGGGCGTCCCCTGGAAGCGACGCGCTGTATAGCCTGGATACAGTGAAAAGTGTGCAAGGGTCGCTATACCGGCGCCCGGGTGTAGTGTTAAATAAGCAAGGGTTCCCACATTACGGACGAATGCGGGTAAAGAAGTTAGTCCATGAAACTAATGAAACTAATATTAGGATAGGATCTTGGAATATAGGCACTCTCAATGGTAAATTAATGGAATTAGTTGATATTATGATTCATAG